AGCACCTCGGAGAGCCGTGGTGCCCCGAGGTCGCACCATGCCTAGAGGCGCAGGCGATGACGAGGGAGAGATGCCGGACGAGGGACCGGGCTGGGAGGGTGTGGGTCCGCGTGCGGGGCGCGGGCGGCCGCGCAGGGCGAGCGGTGCGCCGCCTCGCAGCGACGACGGGGTGCCGTTGGGAGCGGGAGCGCCGCCGCGCGTTGGTGGCTGCGACATGATTGCGCGGGGGCGAAGATGTGGTCGAAAGAGTGTTGAAGGAGGGAGGCCGAGGTGAAGAGGGCAGAGGAGGAGCAGAGCCAGCCGAAGGGTCAAAGGGTGGCCAGCCAGAGCAGAGTGGAGGGAGGGCCAAGCAGGCAGGGTCGCGTCAAAAATTCCAGACAGCTTCGGAGCCGGGCCGAACCGACCTTCTTGGACCTCACGGCTGGGCCTGGCTGGTGCGGTGGGGCCAGTGGGCCAGTGGGCGAGTGGGCGAGTGGGCGAGTGGGCGTGATCGAGGCCGCGCCGCCTCGTCAGCGTTCCGCGGCCACCCAGCCTCCACAGAGGAGAGCCAAGGCCGCGAGCAACCGCACCAACCAACGTCCGTCAACCCAGCCTGCCTGCTCCCTGCCTCTCTACCCCTTCGGCTCCCTCCCGTCATCTTCCACCACCACCGCCACCGCCACCGCCACCGCCATCACCACCACCAACACCGACCGGCGCAGCACCCCCTATTTTGTGACCCTGAAGCAGCACCTGCCTCGTTCTGCCGCACGACCTCCCCCCCCCCTCGGATCACCAGCGGATCGCGCCGCGCGCCTCTCCCTCTTTGCATCGACGACCGACTGTCTGCCCCGGGCCATTCCCTGTTACCCCTGCCCACCATGGTCGCACCCGTCACCTCGGCCGCCGGCATCGTCGCTCTGCTCGACGAGCAGGAGCCTGAGCTCCAATCATACGCCCTAAAGCGCCTCGACTCGCTCGTCGACCAGTTCTGGGCCGAGATCGCCGACTCGGTCTCCAAGATGTGCGTCTTCCCAGTCATCTCGCGCCCGTCTACCTGCCCGCTGCTTCGGTCCTGTACCCGCAAGTGCTGACTTCTGCCCACCTCCTCCTCTCTGCTGCACGCTCCTCTCCCCACAGCGAGGTCCTCTACGAGACCGAGGGCTTTGCGGATCGGCAGCTCGCCGCCCTCGTCGCCTCCAAGGTCTATTTCCACCTCGGCGAGTTCGACGAGGCGCTCAGCTTCGCCCTCGGCGCCGGACCCCTGTTTGACGTCGAGCGAAAGGACGAGTACGTCGACACGGTCGTGTCCAAGGCCATTGACCAGTACATCCAGGCGGCGGCAGGGCCAGCGGACGCGACGGCGACGGCGACGGCGACGGCGACGGCGACCTCGACGCCCACCGACGCCCGCCTCAAGAACATCGTCGACCAGATGTTCTCGCGCTGCATCGCCGACAAAGAGTACCGCCAGGCGCTCGGCATCGCCCTCGAGACGCGGCGGCTCGACGTCATCGAGGAGGTCTTCAACGTCACCCGCGACGCCGCCCTGCTCACCTATGTCCTTGAGTCGACGATTGGCGTCGTGCCCACGCTCGAGTTCCGCATCCAGATCCTCAACCTCCTCGTCCAGCTCTTCCAGCGCCTCCCCGTCCCCGACCACTTCTCCATCGGCCAGTGCTACGTCTACCTCCAGGAGCCCGCCCTCGCCTCGCAGCTCCTCTTTTCCCTCGTCGAGCGCGCCCACCAGCCCTCGAGCTCGTCGCTGGCCAACACGGAAAACGACCCGCTCCTCGTCGCCTACCAGCTCGCCTTTGACCTGGCCGAGAGCGCCACCCAGGAGTTTCTCGAAAACGTGCGTGCCGACCTGCAGACCAAGATCGGCAGCAGCGCCGGTGCCGCCGCCGCCGCGTCGTCGACGACGTCGCAGCAGGCGCCCAAGCAAGAGGACGGCGACGCCGACATGGACCCGGTCGCCGGAGCCGCCGGTGGCGCCGCCGCCGCCGCCAGCACCGTCGACACGTGCGTGACGCGGATCCGCAGCATCCTCCAGGGCGAGGAGAGCATCCAGCTCTACCTCGAATTCCTGCAGCGCTCCAACCGCGCCGACCTGTCGCTGCTCAAGTCGACAAAGGACGCCCTCGACGCGCGCTCGAGCATCTACCACTCGGCGCTCAGCTTCGCCAACGCCTTTATGAACGCCGGCACCACGAGCGACCGCTTCCTTCGCGACAACCTCGAGTGGCTCGCCAAGGCGGCCAACTGGAGCAAGTTCACCGCCACCGCCGCCCTCGGCGTGCTCAACAAGGGCAACCTCAAGGAGGGCATCTCGATCCTCCGCCCTTACCTGCCCCAGGACGGCGTCACCAGCAGCGTCTACTCCGAGGGCGGCAGCCTCTTCGCCCTCGGCCTCATCCACGCCAACCACGGCGCCGAGGTCGTCGAGCTGCTCAAGAACACGCTGCGCACCAACACGGCCGAGATTGTCCAGCACGGCGCCGCCCTCGGCCTCGGCGCCGCCGGCATGGCCACGGGCAACGACGACGTCTACGAGGAGCTGCGCAACGTCCTCTACACCGACTCGGCCATCGCCGGCGAGGCGTCGGGCTACGCCATGGGCCTCGTCATGCTCGGCACGGCGTCGCCCAAGGCCGTCGAGGAGATGCTCCAGTACGCCCACGAGACGCAGCACGAAAAGATCATCCGCGGCCTCGCCATCGGCATCGCGCTCCTCTTCTACGGCAAGGAGGAAAAGGCCGACGCCATGGTCGACACCCTCATGGCCGACAAGGACGCCATCCTGCGCTACGGCGGCGTCTACACCATCGCGCTCGCCTACGCGGGTACGGGCAACAACAAGGCGATCCGCAAGCTGCTCCACATCGCCGTGTCCGACGTCAACGACGACGTCCGCCGCGCCGCCGTCACCAGCCTCGGGTTCCTCCTCTTCCGCAACCCGACCCAGGTGCCGCGCATCGTCCAGCTGCTCAGCGAGAGCTACAACCCGCACGTCCGCTACGGCTCCACCCTCGCCCTCGGCATCGCCTGCGCCAGCACCGGCCTCGACGAGGCCGTCGACCTGCTCGAGCCCATGACAAAGGACCCCGTCGACTTTGTCCGCCAGGGCGCCTGCATGGCCCTCGCCATGATCTTCATGCAGCACAACGAGGCCCTCAACCCGCGCGTGACGTCGGCGCGCAAGACGTTTGACAAGATCGTCGCCGACAAGCACGAGGACGCCATGGCCAAGTTTGGCGGCGCCCTCGCCCAGGGCCTCATCGACGCCGGCGGCCGCAACGTCACCATCAGCCTCCAGAGCCGCGGCGGCAACGCCAACATGCCCGCCATTGTCGGCATGGCCCTCTTCACCCAGTTCTGGTACTGGTTCCCCCTGGCCCACTTTGCCTCGCTCGCCTTCACGCCGACGGCCCTCATCGGCCTTGACCGCGAGCTGCGCATCCCGCAGTTTGACTTTGTCAGCGAGGCCCGGCCCAGCCTGTTTGCGTACCCGGCCGCCTTCAAGCCGCCCAGCGAGAAAAAGGTCGAAAAGGTCGAGACGGCCGTCCTGTCGACGACGGCAAAGGCCCAGGCGCGGCAGCGCACAAAGGACAAGGTCAAGGCCGCCGCCGAGGGCACCGACGCCATGGACCTCGACGACGGCAGCGCCAAGAAGGACGACGCGGCGGCTGCCGGCAGCGGAGGCGCGGCCGGAGGCGCAGGCGACGCGATGAACGTCGACGACGACCCCTCGGCATCGTCCGGGGCCGCCAAGGCCGGCGCCGGCGCCGCCACCAAGTCCAAGACGAGAAAGGAGCGCAAGCCCGAGCCGAGCTCCGAGCTGCTGCCCAACTACTCGCGCGTCACGCCGGCGCAGGTCAAGTTTGTCACCTTCCCCGCCGACGCGCGCTTTGTCCCCATCAGGCCCGTCC